TCTTCATATGTTTTAGTCTCCAGTCCCCTAATCATCTTTGTTGCTCCTCTCTGCACACTTTCTAGAGTCTCTACATCTTTTATGAAGGTATAAGCCAACCAAGATAGTATCATGGCCCAAACTCCTCTAGAAGAAATTCTGTTTTGAACTGCTTTGGAAAGCTATCAACATGGAAATCAGATGTCCATGGGGTAGGGGGAGTTCCAAAGGGCCAGGCCCACAACCAAACAGCTTACAAAATCCTCAGAAAACAGTTACAAGTAAAACTTAGCAGAAACAGGCAGCACAAACTACAACAATTAGAAGTACGGACAGTACAACATTGGGATGGGAAGTGGATGGGCCCAATAGGTAACAGTCCCTTTACCCTCAGGCCTAGGAGCATAGCCGGGCCTTAAGGACTTTCTGGAGCTCCAAGAAAAAAGACACTGTCATTGTCTCGGGGTGGAGGATAAATTTCCAGAGGACGAAGGCCATGACAGAAGGAACACTTTCTTGACCCCTTATGACAGACCCACTCTGCCCAAGACATACTGGACTGGTAGAAGCCACTGGAGATAGATGGTCCTTCAGATAACCAATATCTATGCTATGAAGGGCTTTATAGTGGTGGCCAGCTCCTTGAATTTAATCCGGAAGCTTACTGGCAACCAATGCGATTTGTGTAGTGGTGGTAACACATGAGTCCACTGGGAAGTATCCTTTACTGCTTGCTCCACTGCATGTGTTCGGTAATATATTTGCCTTGGGGCCACTCTGCTGCTAATGTTGGAAAGGTTGGGAAAGTGATACTAAAGTGCAACTCTGTGAAAGATATAAAGCAACATTACACTATCAGATGATTATCATTTCTGGTAAAAGTAGCTCCTCCTACTAAGAACTTGCCAAGATTCCAGATATTGAACTTTTCAGCTTTTCTTCCTAAATCAAATCCTCTTTTCAATGGGAATTGCTGAAGATTGGAATTTAGCATTCGGCATTCACAGAATTTTGATTAAAATGCACAGAATGTCTACAGGGAGGGAGGGATGAAATGGTTGGGTGGGTGAGTGGATGGATGGATGGATGGTCATTCATTCATTTGTTCTCAACTCATAATACTAAGCATGTCTTAATCATGGTATAAAGGGGGTGAGTCAGAAGTATCTGGGCTTTTCTTCTACTTTAAATCCTACAGACTGGCTGGTTTGGGGTTTAATTCACTATTAAGCATATATATATGATTTTGTTCCCAGCATCCTGATCCTTTTGATCTACTTAATTCTTAATTAATTCTTGGCTTCCTCTTCATAGTTCAGTTCATTCATAAGGAAAGTATTTTATTCACTCCTAGCACACACATTCTTAGACATATTTCCAATCAAAGCCACTCTCCTTTAGAGATCTCAGCTGAGTTAGAACAGTCTTCATCAACCTCCCTCTCCTCTAGGCATACTGGGATTGCTGAAACTTCTAGCTGGTTGAAAAGCAGAGTTGAAGTCAAAGAAGTGGACAGTGTTTCAAGCTGCAATTTTATAAGTCTGTTCATATGACCATCTGACCCATTTATGTCCTTCTCTTGAACCAGGTTCAAACGGTCCTCAGCTGTTTACAATAGAGCAATGGGGAAGCCCTGAGAAGTTACCCAGAGCTCACACCTGGTGAGTAATAAAACATCAAGCATTATATTTACAGTCATTAAATTTAGACATCTCCAAGGAATGCACTTTCAGTTGAATGCGATGGGAGTTCTTCCCTATGTAAACCTTCCACGTTAACTTTTCATATATTAGAGGTGCGTATTTATGGATGCAAAAAGCAGTAATTAAAATGTTCTTGCTATTAAGACTATGGTAAAATCTTGAAAAGGGAGACATTTAAGAAGACCCAGCAATAAAACTTTACTGTTTTTCTTTCCATAAAATTCGCTCCATAAAATTCATGGGCAAAAAAAATAATTAGGGGAGATAACAGTACCTTGTTCTGAGCACCAATTGTTAAAGAATACTCACTCATTACAAACATACGTTGGTTGGTTGGTTCATACAGTCTGGGCAATCCCCATTTTTAATATATTGTGGTTACAGATATAAGGAAATCAGATCATCTCCCACATGCCAATCCTGAAGGTTTTTATGTGGCAAGTTTCCAGGCGACTGTTATGCCCTATTTCCAGAGTAGTTCAGAAAAGGAGAAATATTAGCTAATGTTAATTCTAAGGCAGTCTACCAAAACTCTTAAGAATAAAAAGTCTATAGAAAGAAGTCAAATTTGATAAGCGTTTTAATTTTTTTTTTCCGATGCGCTTCTTTCAAAGTAGGCATTTTCTTTCCTTCATAAATGGAATAATTGGGAGGAAATAAAAGTGAGGAGATAAATCTGAAAGAGCAGAGGCCTGCTTCTTCTCTAGAAAATTGGAGGGGAAGAAGGAGAAAATGTGGGAATGAAAAAGGCCTCTACTGAGATTTCTCATTGTCACAAACTGCATATGTTGAGAACTTATTGAAATACATGTTGAAGAAAGTGTATTCTTCAATGGGTCCACCGAGATATCTCTGTGCTTAGATAAAATTATCTGGAAGGGGTTTCCAGTCTCATACAAGCCAAGGAATCTGTCACTCTTTCTCCCAAAGAAAGTTCCCTTCAAGGAAACAAGGGACATTTCAGAAGCAATCTTAGGCACTTAGGCTCTTTGAAAGAACTAAGCATTACCCTGTTTTCCCCAAAATAAGGCCTAATTGGAAAATAAGTCCTAGCGTGATTTTTCAGGATGCTCGTAATATAAGCCCTACCCCCAAAATAAGCACCAGTTAAGATTGTCAGGCAGATAGATGCATTTACTACCATATTTTCCCCAAAATAAGACCTAACCAGAATAGAAGCCCAATGCATCTTTTGGAGCAAAAGTTAATATACGACCCAGTCTTATTTTTGGGACAACGTGGTAGTAAGCTACCATTTTGTTTAGCATTTTTCTGTTGAAAAGTTACATCTCAGTGTTGGGAGGTATTTCTGAATAAATTGGGAAATGGCACAGAGGGAGAGGACTGGTAGAAGAAAATAGAGGATTTGATGGAGAAAAAGCTAAAGCCATTATTGGTTATGACTGTAGGGACACGGCGGCTCAGTAGCTGAGACACTAAGCTTGTCAATTAGAAAGATCGGCAGTTCCGTAGTTTGAATCCCTAGCGCCATGTAACGGAGTGAGCTCCCGTTACTTATCCCAGCTTCTGCCAACCTATCAGTTTGAAAGCACATAAAAATGCAAGTAAAAAAATAGGAACCACCTTTGGTGGGAAGGTAACAGCATTCCGTGCGCCTTCAGCATTTTTGTCATGCTAGCCACATGACCACGGAGATGTCTTCAGACAACGCTGGCTCATCGGCTTTGAAACAGAGATGAGCACCACCCCCTAGAGTCAGGAACAACTAATACATATGTGCAAGGGGAACCTTTACTTATGTAACCTACAGAATTCCACCTAAGAAATCTATCAAGCTATGACAACCTAATCCTCTTTCTTCCATTTCTGTTCTCTACAAGCCCACATAGGAAGTCAGATTTAGCCTGACAATTGGCTAAATGTAATACCACAAATCATAGTTTTTCATGGTTTGGGGGCCCTGGGATTACATTTACACACAGATTCACTGCAGAATTAGAGCTGACCCCATTTTATCTGAACATCTAGCTAGGAATTTTGTTCATTGGTCCTTCTCAAGAGAGGTTCCTTTCAAATGTTTTTTTTTTAAAAAAAGGTGAAATTCCTCAATGAAATGCCATGAGTCTTTCCACACTCTGAAAAACCAGATACTTAATTTGAAACGAGCACAATCCTACCTTTACTTCAATCCCCAACCCTCTTCCCTTGCAGCTTTAATCGCCTTGACTTACCTCCGTATGACTCTTTTGAAGAATTGCGAGAGAAACTTCTAATGGCCGTTGAAAATGCTCAAGGATTTGAAGGAGTGGATTAAGTGGGCGCCTCCTCCTGCTGCTGCTTCTTCATCTTGTTATTCTTCTTCTTGTTATCTTATTAGTAAAACAAAGATTCTGTTCTCGGAGCAAGTTCTGCAAGCACTTTTTGATTTTCCAGCAGACTTTTTTCAGGATATGGAGCAGAACGATTGCACAATGGAGCGATGTCTGAATCCAGCAATGGGAAATAACTTTCTTTCACTTGTGGATAGTATTTCTGAAATTTCCACAACAAATTACCCACTGGTTGATGTATACTCCAATGACATTTCAGCAGGACTTGTCTATTTATGTCGTGCCTCTGTAGGCAAAAGCCCTTAATAAATGTTTTACATACTTTTTAATGGCAATGAATGGAATTAATCATTTTACAGGTATAGTATTACAGTTCACGTTTACTTTGGAACAATGATTTTTCAAGTTTTATTTCCTTGCAATTAAAAAAAAAAACACCCAATAATGTACTGGAAGAACGAACTCATTTTGTTTCCTCTTAATTTGTCTAGACTGTGTATGTATGCCATCATAAGCGTTCTGTTCTCCCCAAAATCTGCTTTTTTGTTGTTGTTTTTAGCATCATGCTCTTCTGGTCTTTTAGAATAAGTAATATTTTTTTTGTAAGATGTTTTCTGCAATTGGAAATATCCTAAAGTACCAAATGCCTTTTTAAATGTGTGCATTGTGATTTCACAAACTGCAACGAAAGCAAAATTTGTGATGGGGTGGAGACCATATTTCTACAAATTGCCTGGATATTCACAGGAAAATCACGACATATTCCAGCATGCCAAATCTCTCCTTCAATAATGAAATTGCCTCCCTATTTCTTAATAGTATTTATATGTATTTTAGCATTTTTGGTGATGGGTTTGGGCACTATTGTCATGGGGGGGGGGAATGTTTGATTGATTGTTGTATAATGACTTTTACCCATTCTTTCCTCTCACAATGGAGGCAATTTCAATGAATCCTGATCTTGCTTGATCTCAAGGCTGTAAAAAGTACTTTTCTGTTTGTATGCATTTGTTAGTATCTAAATGAGACAGATTTTTTCCCCTTTATTTTTGATTGCACCACTTCTATAAGCACTTTATGTACCACATGGAGATCTTTTTTTTTTTTTAATCATAAATATTAATGTGATAGTATGCCTTCTCCTTGCCCATGTCTTTTTGGTGCAATATCTTTCAGTTGTGAACTCTGGCAATGGCTAATGAAGTACAGAAAAAACTAGAGAGAGAGAGATGAACTTAGCGATTTTAGTTGTATTTTGTGGTGTTGGGCTCCACCCACACCAAAATTTATTTAATAAATGCAGTTATCTAGCCAGTTTTATAACGTATGACATGTTGCATGAATAAATGATAATACCTGTATTGTAAATGTTATGTAATAGTTTAAGAGGGAAAGAACAAACAGATTTTTCTCTCATCCATGGGGAGACGACTCGGAGCAGAACATATTTCATAACCCAAAAAGTTGAGCAAATGTGGCTTTGCGGGATTTTGCCCTCAAATCTAAACTCAACCCAACAAGGCTGCAGACTTAAATAGCCTACTAGGATGATGCTAGATAGTTTCTAAACATCTCTAGGGCATACAAGTTTTAAGTTTTTCTAAATATGGATTTCAAGGAAAAATCAATGGACACGTTGCTATTCAGCTAAGCCAGGGGTGTCCAAGCTTGGGAACTTTAAGAACTTGGGAACTTCAACTCCCAGAATTACACAGCCAGCATGGCTGTCTGTGGAATTCTGGGAGTTGAAGTCCACAAGTCTTACAGTTCCCAAGTTTGGAAACCCCTGAGCTAAGCAAAGGACAAGCTTTGACACTGTTCACTGCTTCCTTGCTCCCAGTGATAGAACTGGTCATCACATAGGCTTCACAGGCATTTTTAGAAACTGCTGGGTAGATATATGACGACTTGTCCATGGATTTGGGAGAGAGGGTATACTTAAAGAAAGCATCTTCAGAGGCAAAACAAGCTTGAGAAAAATTATATTTGCAAGGCAGCCATTTTGAAAATATCCATCCAGTGAAAACTATGTTGTGAGTACTGGCCATCAACACTATCTGAAAATTAGAAATGTACTCACCCAAGATACATTGTTTGCCGGAATTAATGCCCCTGATTGAGTAATTACTTGTAGGTATTCTCACAAACAAGATTCTTAGTAGTGGTGTTGCCCTTTTTCTTTCCCCCTTCCTTAATTTAGTAGAATAACATAGTTGGAAGGGACCTTGGAAGTCTTCTATCCAATCCCTACTCAAGCAGGAGATCTTACACCATTTCAGACAAATGGCTGCCCAACATCTTCTTTAAAAACTCCAGCGATGGAGCACCCACAATTTCTGGGGGCAAGTTGTTCCACTGATTAATTGTTCTGTCAGGAAATCTCTCCTTAGTTCTAGGTTGCTTCCCTCCTTGATTAATTTGGCCTATCTTCAAGTGCTTTGGAGATTAGGTTGACCACCTCTTCCTTGTGGCAGTCCCTCAAATAGTGAAACACTGCTATCATTTCATCCCCCCCATGTCTTTCTTTTCACTAGATTCTCTCCAAAATGTTGGTAAACCTAGTTTAATAACAGAAGCACCTTCTGGCTCAAAGTAAAGACAAGCATGTTACCTGGATTTCTTCTAAGCTCAGCATACCTTTTAGATGTTGCTATACCACAGATAAGAGATGTGGTGGTCAGTGGCTAAGACACTGAGCTCGTCGATCGGAAAGGTCGGCAGTTCAGTGGTTCGAATCCCTGGCATCATGTAAGGGAGTGAACTCTGCGTAACGGAGTGAGTTACTTGTCGCAGCTTCTGCCAACCTAGCAATTGGATAACACGTAAACATGCAAGTGGAAAAGTAGGAACCACCTTTAGTGGGAAGGTTAGAGCATTCTGTGCGCCTTCGGCGTTTAATCATGCTGGCCATATGACCATGGAGATGTCTTTGGACAGCACTGGCTCTTCGGCTTTGAAACAGAGATGAGCACCATCCTCTAGAGGCGGGAATAACTAGCACATATGTGCGAGGGGAACCTTTACCTTATACCACAAATGCAAGGCTAATTGAATTTACTGGCTATCCATGGTAGCATAGAGCATTTTTTCCCTTTTGGTTCTTTCAACTTACCTGTGCATTTTGAAATGATTTGATGACAGTCTGCAAAAGTAAACTCTCCTCAAATCACTTTAAAGTGCACAGGTACATTGAAAGAACAGATAGTCATTCATTTCTCAACTTATGGTTGTCTCACCTGGGCTGGCAATATATTCTTGCACATTCAGAAATAAGAGTTTCTTCCAGTCAGGCTTGGTCTCTGGTAACTAGATTTCCATGAAGTTGCATTCCAGATGAGTGGGATTACAACTCCAGAACTCTTGAGGCAGCATGGTCAGCCAGATCTGAAAGGCTGAAATATAGGATTACCATATTTTTCAGAATATAAGACGCACTGGAGTATAATATACACCAAGGTTTTGAAGAGGCAAATTTTAAAAAAAGTTTTTGCACTCTGCAAACCTCCTGAAAACGGCCCGTTTTTCATGAAAACGGGCCTGATTTTTGTCAAAAAAGAGCATCCATAGCCTTTAAGAGGCTTGTAGCATGTTCAGGGCTGGGGGGCAAAAACGAGCAAAAAAGACCCGTTTTTCACTCATTTTTGCCCTCCCCAGCCCCCAAGAGCCCTCTAGAAGCCTCCTAAAGGCTACGAACAGCTATTTTTGCAAAGGGGGCGAGGTTTCAAGAGGCCAAAATACTGTATTCAGTGTATAAGACGCACCCACATTTTCATCCTCTTTTTGGGGGGAAAAGGTGTGTCTTATACTCTAAAAGAAATGGTAATTAATTTTTAAAAACCTAACGGAAAAGGGAGATCAGAAAAAAGGAATGCCTTAAGACCGTGATGGCAAACCTATGGCATGCGTGCCAGAAGTGGCACACAGAGCCCTCTCTGTGGGCACCTGCGCCATTGCCAGCTGCTCTTCTGGTTTCCGGCACGCACATGCACGCTGGGCACCTGGTCTTCGTGGGCCCCGGAGCGCTGCAAAACAGCCTGAAAAATGGCCAAAACCCAGGCCATTTTTCAGGCCAGGGTATTTTTGGCCTGCAAACAGCAGAAAAACAGCCAGAAACCCGCTCCAAAAACAGGCATGCGCACACCGGGCAACTGGGTTTTGTGTTTCCGGTCTCTGGCGCGCATGTACATGCGTTCCAGTTTGGGCACTCGGTGCCAAAAAGGTTCGCCATCGCTACCTTAGGATATCACAATAGTTTGTGAGGATTAAAAACTCAGTGGTTGAAGTATTGCTTAAGGATGAGGTCCAACATTTTAAAAAAGCAATAATTAAAAATAAACAACTAGTGTAAAAATGGCTAATCATTCTATGCCCAGACTTGAAAGGACCAATTTTGTAACACAGGAAAAAAAAAGGTCAGTAAATATTTAGCAAGATAATGCAAAGCTCAGATGAGCATATTCTTTGAAAAAAAATAATAACCCACATAATTCACAGGAAAAAGGTTAGTCACATTATCAGTTGGGTGAAATCTTGTTGAAGTACTTCTTCCTTTCTACCTCCCCCATCCCACCTGCATACCACAATTTTAACAACCCTATTTCTTATATGTTGTGTAAAAGGAAGCGTATTGGATCAAAGTATCATGCTGAGAAAAGTCTAAATCTTTTACCCCAGAGACACAGGGAAGGCCAAAGAGAATTATGAGATACAATAAATGAGTTGCATAATCTGAAAATATGGATTTTTTATTTTGGAATAAACACAGACAAACAAAACGCAAAAAACATCACAAAACCATCTTCCATTACAAATTGTAGAAAGTGTGTCAATTGGTTACAAAAAAACTTTCGTGCATCCCTTCCACAGTCATCACCTACAATTCATATCAAGTTACATATTTTAAATCAAATATATTTATATATATTACTATCATCATAAACCTTCCTTTGACTATAATTGTTTTTACGTCCTTTTATATAAAATATTCCAAACTTTAAAGAAAAACCACATATGGCATTTCATTAACTGTTTCCATTATCATCCGGTAACATTACATCTTTATGACATGTTCTAAATTTAAAAATGATTATATTTAAGAACAAAGTTTCTAGACCTCCTTTCTTAATCACTGTTTATAATTTATATCCAATTTCCTTTTATCAAACCAGTACATACATACATACATACATACATACATACATACATACATAC